GTTTAGCGAATCGCCGCGATATCCAGAACACAATGCGAGATATCCAAGCCGCTTGTTCCGGGATACATTGTTTCCGTTCTTCGGCGTTCTGCCCGCGTATGGAAATGCAGTAATCACTTAAAGCGGATCTCTGCTGACGACCATCATCGACACAACGCAGCTTGCTGCAAACAAGGAAAAAAAAAACGAGGTCCTGTGCGAGTGTGAAAATGATAGAATTTTGAATGGTATAACAGAGAGTTGCAATTTACGTATATGTTTTGCGCAAATAAGTAGAATAGTGACAAAAAATTAATTGCACTGATATATGGTTTCACTAAAACCACTTTCTTTCTAAGTTGCAAGCGTGGCAAAAAACTTTGTTTAAAGTAACAACAGAACAGGTGGGAGATAAAATAGACAACGGTGGAATAATAGAAGATAAAAAGAAATAGATAGACAACAAGAAAGAAACGGCGGAAGATAAAGAGTCTCGACGAGACTTGAATTGAGCAATTTTTCTCGCAGAAATTTCGGGGAAAAAAAAAAAACGCGTGTGTGACACGAACAATGATAAACGCTAAAGGTCGAAAAGGGATGCGAATATATAAGAGGTGAAATAGTAAAAGGATTGAGAGAGTTTGAAAAGTAAAGGGAAAAGGGGGGAGAAGGGGGTAAGGGAAATGGGGAGGAGAAGATCGATTTGTGAGAAGATGATGGGAGGGAGATCGACATGTTAAATAGGCGAGCAACGGACTATGAATGCCGGCCAGCTCAATGCGAAACAAATTAACCGGAAATCTCCCTGGTAAGATTCGGGATGGTTGCGGCTAAGAAATTTCTCGCAAAGGAAGTTTAGCGCTTACTCCTTCGCGTTTTGCGAATAAAATTTTAATTGCGATTAAATTCGCTTCTAAAAATCAACGTGATAACATTTCGTTTTCTACGTATATTTTATATTCAAAGAAATGAGAAACGACAAGCTACTTGTGCAACTTCCGAGAATTAACGTTCCTCGCAACATCGCACTATCGGACGCGAACGCGTCGTAAATTTTCGCAAGCGCAAAAACTAATTCAGAAGGCAAATCAGAGTATTGTATCTTCTGTCTGAAGTTTTTTTTTTTTTTGAAAAAGCGGAGAAAAATTTTATCTCGAAGTTACCAACTGGAATCCAATCTAACGGCTTGAAGATGGACATCGCGGGGTGAACGGAAGAGTTCACCAACCCGTTTTACATCCGCGGCCACTGGCGGTACGCTGTGACGCGCACTACTACTTCTCTTGTGTATCCCTCTTGCTACAGCTTTACACACATTTCCGTGTGTCCCTTCCGCCTTTCCCCGCTACATCTCCACCCTCGGCGTAATGAATCCAGTTTGTCGAACTCTACCGCCTTCTCCGGATGCGCGTTGACGGGGGGAGGGAGGGAGGGAGGATTTTCCCGACCTACCTATTCTAACTATCCTAACCATCCCCATTTCAACCATTCCATCTATCTACCTATCTATTTATCTACCTATCTACCTATCTATCTATCTATCTATCTATCTATCCAACCATCCGTTCATCCATCCATCCATCCATCCATCCACTCGTCCGTTCGTCCACAGCGGTAACTGCGCTACGTGAACCACTGTGCTTTTCGGTGCCACCCCGCGGCGGCGGCCAACCCGCGTAGTCATTTTGCATCTCTCTCCTCCTACCTCATCCTCTTGTCCTCCTTCCGCCCCTCTCCGCGTAGAGCGTGCTACGCCGCCGCGCGCTCGATGCCCGTAATTACATCGAGTTCTCTTGACGTGGTACGGGGGTGGGTGTGCAGAGGTAGAGGTTCTAATTAATCAGCTAGCCGCACCGCGCGCGAATCGTTCCCGCACTCGCTATGGCTACGGCTGCGGCTGCGGCACACGCTTATAGCTTGACCGTCGCGACCAAAGCGTCGTGGGCTCTTCCTCGCACCACCCTCCCCTCACCATCCTCCGTCTACAGATCCCAGTTTGCTCGTTCGCGGCCTCGTTGTCGATTCGTACACAAATAAATCTACATTCACTCCTCATCTAGGGTAATTACAGTTCTGCCGAAAGAATTGAACTAATTATCTGCCGTAGTTTATTGCAAAGCGAGATTTCTTTTTGTAAATTCAGTAATTGTCTTTTGTTAGCAAATTGAATAGACATACACGTACGTGCGCGCGCACGTACAACAAGAAGACATTTAACATAAAAAAAAAGTATATACATTTCTTATATAAATAATTTTTTCGCAACTCAGTATTGTTTAACAATCACGTGATAACGTAAAAAAAAAAAAAAACAGATTAAAAAAATGTTCATATCAAATTGGTTTAAATTTTAATAATTAAAATACATACCGAATAGTTTTAATCGGTTCGTTGCTCACTATAAAGACCAAGAAAAATCGACGTTCTTTGTTGCCGTTGTATTTTCTGGCAGCTTTTCAATGGCGGATCTTCATCACCCTTTTAGAAGAAGAGAGAGAGAATAAATGGGAGAATGAATGTGTTGTGTGTGCGTAAGAGAGAGAGAAAGAGAAAGAGAGAGAAACTGACTTTGGGCAACATTGGTTTCGGGCAATAATTACTCGCCAGGAACTGAGAATACAGGGACCAGAGGTTTCGCCTTGGCCGCAGCTGCAGTGATGTCGTGCTAATGAATCTATTTTGCCTGTTCTCTATATCGAGGGCCTTTCTCCACCCCTGTTCCCTTCCTTCCTCCTCGTTCCCTCCGTCGTTTGTCGCTTTCGTTCAACTCAGGTCGCACACAACACATCGACACTTCGCATCGACTTTTGTAAGAACTGCAAATATATATTTACATGATAAAACTCTACACATCGTTATATTATAATTGATCGATATTGATTTTGAGCTAATCACATTTTACACAATCTTTTGAAAAATGTTAATTCTATATACTAGCTATGTTATTTTACACAACATAATTTACATACACATACACGTATATAGAAAAACTATAGTGGAAGTAGATATCGCTCCGTCGACAATATTGTGCAATATTTTATAAACATTTCTCATTATTTACCTTGAGCCGATTTGCGCTCGCGTAATGTGATCACTTCTACGTACTGCTATCCAATTTATTTTAACAAAATAAATTGTTCGGTAATCGCGGGACTTTGGTGTCCGTTTTCGATTGCAAATCGGTCGCCGAAACGCAACGAACAGTACACGCCATCTAGCAGTGAGCGTAAAGAAATTGAAGTTCTCTAAACCTCCTCGTTTCCTACGGAAGATAAGGTAGCAAGAAATTATTCCCACTTTACCGATTACGCACAGTGGCGGGTCATAATCTGTCAACAATAACAGTCAACAATTTTGAAGCGTCCTAACGCTTTATTTGTGTATCAGTTTACTAACTGTCACAATTCACATAATCGCGTTTTTAGTTTTTGCCTCGACATGGATAACGATTATTACTCTACTATGTATACATGGTAAATATAAAAAAACATTTGTGTGTGATTTACAACATGTAAAATATTTTTATATTAAGATTTTTTTTTTTTTATTTTACTGCCAAAAGGACTTTTTAATTTTACTTCCAAATCGATTATGAGTGCAATAATAAGTTCGAAACGTATTTGCTTCATGTGTTATATGCGATCTGATTTTTTTTTATTTAAGATATCTGTCACATCTCTGTGTATCTCTTTCAGGTTTGAAAAGTGTGGAATCATATCCAACGTCAGAACGCATCTGCGTCAGAACTTGGTGAACGCTCTAAAGCGCAAAGATCTGGGATTGTGTAGAATTAAAGAGCCAAGATCGGCGAGACAGTACGTTTACGACATGTTAATAGCTGAGTACCTGTTTAGTCACAATTACTCTTTCACCTTGTCGATATTTGCTAGCGAGGTTCCGCTTTTAATGAACTTTTGCAACAGCATGCCACAGCGTTCATCTAATGATAATGACAGAGATGATAGTAGCAGGCACAATAAGTTGCCGAGCGATTACATTACGCACACACTGGAAACACTGGGCATCGATCCGAAAAGATACGAGAGTCAACATATCATATCAAGCTACATGAACAACGAAGCGCCGTTATTGCTGTCCATTCTAAGTTCTATAGCTTCGCTAATTGATAGCGCCAAATCTTCAGGTCAAAATTCCTCGCACAACAAGGAAACACAAGCTGATCTCGTATTGGAAGGAAACATTGCGAATGCGAAAAAGATACATGCTATGAGAAAGAAGATTGTGGAACAGAAGCAACTGTACGACAGCGAATTGAGAGCGAAGGAAGACGAATTGAGGCAACAAGTGTCCGTTATACAATGTCAACTCAGCTCGTTGAACGCAAAAATGGAAGAAGCTCAGGTCAATATTTCCTGATTATATATAAACTTTTATATAAATATTCTATATAATTGCTATTTTATGCATAGAAAACTGTTTCTCTGTTTGCACGTAGAGTTTGATGCAATTGCTTACACTGAAAGAAAAACAGCTAAACGACAAGAAAGACAGCAATGCGCAATATATCCTGCGAAAGGAAATGGAGCTGTCTATGAAACAAAATTTTTTAACTCAAGAGGCTAACAGGTGAATAGCAGTATAAAAACAAACTTAGAAAGATTTTTATCTTGGAAATTGAATCGGTTCTAAGTATAATATCCGTATCTATCTTTCTGAATTCCTGTTTTTTTTTTCATACGAATATGTTTCAGATTAAAGAGAGAACGAGACACTTGCCGAAAGTTTGAGATCGACCTAAAGAAGCTGCAACGAGAGCTTGTCAAAATGCAAAAGGAAATATCACAAGGTCACCCGAATCAGTGCGCGCAGACCAACAACGTTAGAAATATTCACGTGCAGACTGACGCGGAGGAGGAGAGTCGCGCGATAATGAACGAATATCGGACTCTTCAGCGAGAAAAATTGGAGCTGACGAATCTTGTGCAGGAGCAACGATCGAAAATAGAACAAATCACGCAGCACAGCGTGCAGTTATCGCGTCAGTTAGAGGAAGCGAATTTGTTGCGATCGGTTCACGTCGAAGTGCCGATAGCTCAGGTTGTTAGTACGAATGCGATCGTTAGTGAGAGCAGTTCTACCGAGGATATTCTGCAGGACGCTAAGATGCGGCTGAAGCGTCTCGAGGAGGAGAGCTCCAAAGCCGATCAGTGTTTCTGCAGTTTCGTCAGCACCACTTCATAGCATTTAAATTAATCTTAAATTATTTGTAAAATTAGTCTCTATATCGTTATTAGTATACGCGCACCGCACAAAACTGGTCTTGCAAATGCACACACTTCGCACGCACATCGCTCGATCAAGATTATTCCGTCCCTTAAGAAAAAAAACACAGAAGACTGAATTAAAACATGAAAAAAGTAGTGAATATTTTTGATCATTTATTTTATATATAAAACCGGACGTTAAAACATAATATACAAATTGTGCACTATTTTTTGTCGCTTTATTTTGAATTCTACGATCATTACATCAAACATCAAACATAGAGCATAGAAAATATTAAGTCAAACTCCTTTCCGTTGTACATCATCTTCGTTTCGGATCTGAACTCCTTCTGGTGCACATCAGTTAAGGATCATATCGAACAATTTTCTTCGCGCATTAGATGTACGATTAATGAAAAGTTAAGGATATAAAGAACAAAAAGAAAGGAAAGAAAATTGTATATAAGTTGTACGAACAATTAACGTCGGAGAAAAAAATTTTATATGAAAAAACAAACATCTACCAAAAATATATATACAAGTACAAATTCGTTAACTCGAATAACTACTCACAGAGTTAGTTATGTAATTATTAAAAATTGTTAAATTGTGACAATGTGTTGTTATATAAATCTATCAAAATAAAAAGCGTAATTTTACGTATTTTTCATTTGCTTCATATATCGTATTAATAAACACGTTAAAAACAAGATCTGCTACACAAAAATTATATAAAAAAAGATTTAAAAAAAAAAAAAAAAAAAAATTACACCGAGCTCAATGATATGAAAGACAAGAAGAAACAAAGAGAAAGAAAGAAAGAAAAAAAGAGAGAGAGAAAAAGCAAAAAAATTATACAGTGCAGTAAGCTATTTGATACTTAATTACCTGCAGTATTTAACACATTGAGTGCCACGCGATACACCGGTGTGTCACGCGGTATTTTATTTTTTCTAAACTATTTACTCGTCAACAAATTGTTTTATAATGTTTTGGCGGATATACGTGATATACGTTTATTTTTAATTGATAGAAAATAATTTTATTTCTTTATTCGAGCAAAAGAAAAGTGATGAAATTTTATGCGTTTAAGGCGAAAAAAATAAGATTCAGACATGGCACTCAACGTGTTAAAATCATGAAAAAAACAAACAAGAAATATCTTTATCAGAATATATACGTATATAAAAGGATATTGTTTATCACGGCTTTCCCGTCCCTCGCGTTCGTGAGGACGATCCTTCGTATATGGAGATTTTTCCTGAAAACACATTCTTGATTGAATCTTCCGAATGCTACACGATTTCCTGCGACATTTGGGATACTGGGAGTAAGGTGGTCACTTAATACTTTCTTGTGTGGTTGCTATTGCCACCCACTTTTTCGTCCTTTTAATGTACTCGAAGTAGACGTCTTTATCAACTATGAAGTCAAGTAATAGAAAGTTATTTGAAAAAAACAATCCAACTGTTTTCTTTTATGGAACAAGTCTAAAGAAACATTTCACCTAATTATGCATGTAGGATCAAAAATCGTATAACTTTTCCGGATATAAAAAAAGTTGCAAACGCGTTTATAGCTATTTATGTTTTATCTATTCGAATTATGTGAGAGATCTATGTATAAATTTTTGTGCTATTTCTGTTATTTTGGATTATTATATATGTGTGTGTGTGTTACGTACAAAAAAATTCATCAAAGAATATACTGACCTTACTGTAATGATGCTTTTCTCTATGTTCAGGAATGTCGCCGTTCTGATGAGTGCTTTTAGCTGAGAAACATATACATATGTTGCGTTACATTCAGTGCAAATGCCAATAATAATTCACATTTCTATTTCTCAACACAAGAAGCAAAAATAATAATAACAAACCTCTCTCATCATCTTTTCTCCGTTTTTGTTCAGTGGCTGCTATTGATTCGTCTGCACGATCCTGCAGTAATTAATAAGAATTATTAATACCTCACTAAGGAAACACTAATTAAACAAATAATTATAGAAATTATAATTACCCGTTTTCGTCCCTGTTTCTTTTCCCTACGCAACTCCTTTTGCTCGTCGCGTGTTTTCCCTTTGCTGGAACGTTCTTTTTTATCAAGAACAGCTTCCGCGCGTCTTCCTTCCTGCTGAATAAAAAATTTTTTAAAGAAAAAGAAAACAGAAAACACAATGCAACTAGATTTGAACTTATTGCAGACTACATACTTTCGGAGTGTTTTCTACTTTTCTCCTTTTTGCATCTGAAACTGAATATATAAATATGATTGTACTACAATATAAAATTATACTACACAAAAGAACGAACATATAAAATATTCTTACAAAAAACTCTTACACAATTAATTATTAATCATATTATTTTTTTTCTTATACAATATTAATATAAACAATGTAATATGCAGTAAACGTTACAGACATGACTTCTTGACTCAAAGGCTCTAAAAATTCGTTCATATGCCAACAAATTTGATTGTTATGATATTTATAACACTAACCTCTTTCGGGACCTTCTTGCGTTGGTCCTGAACCAGCGCTACTATTTGAAACACTGGAAAGATCTCGATCTAAATTGTCTCCGCTACTGCTATAATAGTGCTCTTCCTAAAACACACATGTAAACAACACTCATTTGTACGTGTGCAGAATTTAATTAGATTATTTGTATTAAATTACGAAAGAAAATTGTGCAGTTGTTACCAAAACAAATCAGAAATTATATTAAAATATTTTATTTGCAAAAATACGAAGCGCGAATAACAAATTTTGATATTGTAATTCGAAATACTTGAACGACACATTGAAAGCCAAAAAACTTTTTTCTTGCGTTAATGAAAACCTACCTTATAGTACTTGCGATCCTTTTTATCGTCATCATCTTTCACCTCGTCTTTCTTCATATATTTCTCTTTCGCGTCTATAACATCCTTATTATCGTCTTTCTTTCTTAATTTCTCGGAGTTTTCTCTGAAACAAAAAAATTAACAGTGCTAATTAATATATCGCAAATGATGACGAAAAACAATAGAAAAGTTTACAAATTGTTTCATTTGCAAGTTTTATAAAATATCGTAGAGAAATGATTTAAAAAAAAAACTTAAAAACATATAGAAGTTTAATACGCAACGTAAAAGAGATCTGCATTTTACAAGTAAAACAAATTTACTTACTGATGAGTTTGATTGGATGAACTTCGTTTTTCTCGCTGTTCCTTGTTCTCTTTTTCTGGCCGCGTGTCCCCGTTGTTAACTTCTTTCGCCGCCACTCCATTGCTAACTTTTTCATTCGTATCGCTATTCGTAGTATCTTGCACCTTTCCAGCCTGGAGCGTCAGCGAATATAAATTAATAACTCTGAATATTTTTGTTACAACAAAAAGCTGTTATACAATAAAAATATGTAAAACGAAGGTAAATCTAACCTTGTCGCCAACGTGATGAAAATCTGATTCTCGTATCATACTGGGCGTTTTGGCTTTTAGTTGTCCGCTATACGACGTAGCTAAAACATGCAAATCCTGACGCTGACCGCGCTCCTCTTCTCTCACTTTTTCCACTTTCCGTTCGAGAATTTGAGAAAGTTTCGCCAGAACAGGAAAATGTGGCAATATCTTGATCAATATTATCAAAGAATTTCTTATTTGAACGTAATCTTTAGAATCTAGACACACTACAATGGCCTGTTGAATAAAGAAAAGATAAATAAATCAACTATGACGTTTTTTACGTTGCCGGGTTTTTATTACTCAGAATTCTGTATATCTCGAAAAGTGCGCGAATGTCCCACCTTCGTGATCTTGTAATGCCACTTGTGACACACGTGTCTGTAATTTTCAAATCCAACCATATCGTTTGCCTCGGAAAATTGATTGCTAACACGAAACTTGGTCACAAATCCTGGATAATTGCTGCATTCCTATATATATATTAAACAAAGTATTTATCATCACCAACTGCCAAATTAGATATTCAACTTCACGACTAGATACACACTATCATGCATACATATATAAGAAAGAAATTTTCTATATTAGCACATAAATTATCAGATTAAATATTTCATATTGTATTCATTTTTTGCTCCGATCCGAAAACATATGTTAACAAGCAGCTGTTACCTTATCGAATATGGCTTTTTCGGAATGCCATCTCATCACAGTTTCCAGCATGGCGCACAAAAACCTGCCATATCGATTTGCTTCGTTCTCTGTACACGAGGTGACTGAATATGTAATATCACAGAAAAGCTAAAAAAGAACAAATCATACAAGTGACAAAACGATTCGTCGAAACGACAACCACCATAGTCACAACAATGAAAGAATAATAAATCCTTACACGATCGTAGCAAAGCAGAGTTGAAAAATTTGCAGTCTTTAGTGAGTGAATGGTATGTACAAATTTCGCGCAATACATCGCGTCTACAGTTGTGAATGTACATCGCGGGAATAGGCACAACTGCAAAAATTGCGTTATCGTCTCGTTCTTCGCAGATTTGGCGCTTCGCGATAAAAACCATGTATCTTTCTCTTGCCTTTAATTAAGTAAAAATTAAACAATTGTCAGAACTAAATAGGATTTGTAATTTTACAAGAAATCACAGAGTAACTACTTTACCTCAAGTACGCAAAGACCTTCTCGACGTGTTCCTCTTGCTTTTTCTTCTCGTCTTGCAACTTCTCAATGAGAGTGGTGTACCTTTCTTGTTCCTTTTTGCCTTTACTTACAGTCTAGAAAAAAAAAGAGAGAGAACAATGTCAAAATCAGTTAAAAAAAGAAAAGCGAAAGAATTCTACTTGTGTTGATATTGCGTACCATGTCTTTGGAATCAGCACTTTGCGCGGCGAGCTGTTTTATTTTGCTAATTTCTCTTTGATAGCTTTCAACCGGCACGTACAAATCGTACATCGACAGAGACCAAAATGTGACTAAAAATTGCGGCGAAATATCTTCCCATACTTTCAGAGGATGTAAAGGTCTAACGGATTGAGCGACAGGTGCCATAACAGTTTGCGCAGCTTCCGCGTACTTTAATTGCTTCATGGCTGTAGACATCTTTTTGTAATTTGGATCAGCTTTACGAAGGGCATCGTATTTTATCTTTAACAGAAAATGAAGATTAACTTAAGATACTCCACATGTAAAATATGATCTGTTAGATCATATTTTAAACTATTTACTTAAGACTATTATTTATTGTAATAAAACTTGTTGACATTAAAGCTAGTAATGTTGTTCAAGAAAATAATTTGCTTACATTTATAGCGTGTGCAAACATTGGCCTTGCTAGGAAAAATGCGACGTCCGCGTGTATGTGATTGTCCTGAAGCATAGAATGAATCGATGGCAATCGCTCCACGTACTCATCCACCGTCATAGTCGAGCCCAAGAATGTTCCAAATTGCACAAGCGTATCCTGACACTGATCGTACAACTTGCCTATTGATTATATTAAAAAATCAAATTGTGAAACAAAAAGTGACACTTGTACGGGAAAGAAATATAACACACTTTTATCTTTTTATTTCACAATGTAATTAACATACGTACCAACGAGTTTTAGATGAGATTTATCTGTTTCTCTGTAAACGACGCAATGTTTCTGTTGTGCCATTAATAAACACAGAGCAACCGCGAGATCATGTTCAGCGAGAGCTTCCTTCAAACGTTGAGAAGACTTTTTCGTGTTGCGTACTTGACTGAAGTAACCGGCCTTGAGAAACAGTTTTTTTTTTTCATATATTAATTAAAACTACTCATGAATGAAAAACATATGAAATCACGCATCCGGTTTTAAAATTTACCTCATTTTTTAACAGATCGCCTCCCGCCATTGCGTCCAATTGATCGCACGTCATTTCCTCGGCTGCTTCGATACCAGCCATTTTTTGTACTATCTCTTTCAATATCAATAGATCTAGGCTGAAAAGACAAAAAGTATAAAACCAATATAAATGGCAGAGCAGTTGGTGTCACAATATTTCGTTAGCTTCAGCGAAAGAAGAGATTTACCTCTTTTGAGCTTTGAGTTGATTTGCTACATACTGCAACAACCCTGTTAATTCGATGTTATACTTTTTAAATATTGCTCCACAAAACGAAGCCAAAGACTGCAACCACAAAGATATGCTGGTGCCATCGTGTTTAAATCTATCCCTGTCAGCACCCGCCAACGCTTCTACAAGACAATATCCTAACACGTCATACGAAATATTTGTCAAGTACTTCAAGGAATCCACTACAGGTCCTGTAATATGTTCAATATGACGTACACATTTAGACGTATGTTGCAGGATTGTTACAAGTTTTTTTTTTTTTTTTTTTACAAGGAAGAACGCGCACGCGCTCGATATGTACCTATTAGGTTGTCGTACAACTGGATCTGTATTAGAACATAATCGAACAAAACACCGGGCGAGGAATGAGTTAGTTTGCCTATCGATCGGCCAACCGGTTTGATCGTCTCCTTGCTTACGCGTTTCATAATCGACTTGATCTTCTTCTGAGCATCCGCACGTTTTCGCAACAGAGCGGCGTGCTGTAATGGCGTGTCGTTTTTCCATCGCGCGTACAAACAGTAACGGTTCTGATAGGGATAGTACTTGAGAATGTTCCACAGTTCCTCGGCGACGCAGCAATTGCAATCCATAAAGGAGAGCGAGGGCAACAATGCAACATCGAGAATCGTCAACACATCGTAGTACAGGTTGGAATCCTCCTTGTTGATTAGTTGCTTGCTGGCATCGACCGGGCAATGCTTGATGGCAGCGTAGCACAGCCTCATCACTTTGTACATTAGAATAGGATCATGATGCAAGTTTGGTCCGAGCACTATCAACATTGGCAACAAACGATCATGAATGTCGTTCAATTCGTATATCGATGGTGGCGCGAGAAAGCTTTTCAAAGGAGGCACTTTACGACCCGGCAATTTTGGCGAAACGATGCAATATCTGGAAGAGAATTCAAGATATTTGCGATGTAAGATAAATTTGAGTAAAATAAAAGTAGAACAACGTTTTTTTTTTTTTGTACAAATATTACACATCTATGACATACAATTTTCACACGTTTCTATACACCTAAATGTATAAATCTTGCGCAACTTACCTTAAGATAAAATGCTATATAAAAGATATTAAAAATATATTATATTAATATGGACTTACTTCCTGTACGCTGGCTCAATAAGAGATTGAATCATTTTACACAATGCTAAAGCTATGGGACGCTGATCCGTAAGACAGTAGTCTGGCAAACGATTAAATAAATTTTGCGCCACCTCCCAAGCTCCGATTTCCAAAAGAGCTTCGCATAATCCAAATTTTTGATTGCTCGAATATTTGTCCTTTAAAACGAAAGAGAAATTATGCACACAACGCACAAAACTATTACCTGATATATGTATATACAAACAATAATTAATATGTTAATAATGTATTTTATTATATGTAAAATAATTATGTAATCATCACAGGCAACGAACTTTAGATAGTCAGAGAGTAGTTAAAAAGTTGTAAACCATGTCTCTTATCAGAAATAAGTTCATTTTTTATCGCAAACTAACAAATTTTCACTTTTTTGTCAATTTGTATTAAAATTAAATTAATAAAGTATTTATTTGCTACTTGTGCATTGTCCTTTTCTTCGGCAACGTCTTCCTTGTCCTTCGTTGAGATCACACTTAATTTTCGCACATATTCCTTGGCTAGCTTCATTGCTTGTTCGTGATCTGATATGATTGTTTTATCATCTGGTACAAGCCAAGGTAATATATCGTCCAATTTAATCACACCATGCTGCAGCATGAGTGCGGTAACTTTTTGAAGTGAAAACGGAGTGGCGTTGATGGTGGAGCAGTACTTGAATCCCAACACCTCGCAGAGTACCTGTTGATCGCTCATGTATGAACGTATTAAGGGAATAAATAGAGCATCGTCTTGAGGTCGATTTTCAAAGGTCTCTAATAAAATATCGAGTACTCTATTAGGGTCAAGGTTGAAATAACCTGCAAACACAACGCATCTTTTACCTAAATTTGTTTTTGCTAACCGACATTTTTGCAGATTTATTTTGGTGAAATTGTGTGCACAATTTCCAAACTTTTAATAAAAATCGCAAGAAAAACAAAAAAAACAAAAAAAAACAATTCTTCATACCAATGAGAGATTTAACAATTTCCAATGTCGAAGCGACCTCAGTATCCGGTCTTTCCTGATTTAATTCTACAATAAGTTTGGAATAACCTTCGCTCTCTTCGCGAAATAAATTAAATTTTCTCTGCTTGTAACTGTAAGAAAATCGATCATAGTTTTAGAAATCCATTGCGAAAATAAACAATAAAATTCCTGCACATATCGACAAAATAAGAATACTTACTATAATTTTGTCTTTACTTTTATAAACTTTGTTTGGAAATTTTTGTTTTTCAAAGTTCCCACATCTTGCAAAGTTTCAATCTCTAACCGTTCTTTCAATATCCTATCAGTTAAAAACTGTGAAATGCGAAAGAGAGACAAACACAAATTATTAATTTACAATATTAAAGTTTCCTAGCTATTTTACTTTTAGTATACTTTTGTGTGTTCTCTGATAAATTAGTTTTCTCAAAGATATAAGAGCTACGTACGCACATATACTTATGTTTACCTTTTCAGATTCTTTCACAATGTGATAAAAGTTGTTTCTTTCTTCATTTTGCGCTTCTACATCAATTAAAGTAAATATGTCTACTATTGTTGATGGTATTGCACCACCCAAGTTCTATAAATAAATTATTTGTGTTACTATTCTCACAGAAATTTGTTTACCTTTGATGAGGTTTTTTGCATAAAACTTCGGACAATAAGAAAGAAGTTTGTTGCCATACCGTGAGTTCACCTAATGTCTGAACCACACTGTCCTTCTTTATGTTCCCATGGACCCCATTTGATATTAATTCGTATAACCCTCGTCGCCATTCTATAAACAAAATTGAAATCTGTTGTAATACAGAAATGCGATAGAAAAGATTTTATATATATATATATGTAATAAATGTTAAAAGAGAGGTGATATCACAAAATATATGAAACAACAACTGTAAGACAGAGAGATGCGAAATGAATGCGTCTGCTTGGAGTACTCAGATATCTTAAGCGTCAATCTATCTTTATTCTACATCTGATGAAAGAAAAAAATCAAGCAAAGGCATCTAATATGCATAAATTGTACCAATTCTTTCTTTTTTATATATTTTACATCAAAGTAATAAATAACTAAGTTTTATTTCAAATTTATGCACATGTAAATTTGTATGTTTCAATCTTGATGCATGTTATACACGCACACACACACACGCACGCACGCATGTACATATATATACGTACACTCACGCATGTGCATATACAAAAGTATAAATTATCACATAAAAAGAATTGTTGAATAAAGAAGACAAGTTGCGTATTATACAGAAGCACACAATAGCGTATCCATTTTCAATGAGAGAGAGAGAGAGAGAAAAAAACAGAGATTGCAAGCGTGAAACGGGACTTAGGCGCGCGAACAGAAATATATACTCGTGGTCGTATCATTTACCTGACGTGTTGCCTTCCTTAAATTTGTGCTTGAATAGCTTGAGGCTGCAAACAGTCGTGAATTGACAAATTAAGTCTTCAGTAGAGCGAGTTTAACAGGAGTAGATAAGTGTTTTCGCGACCAGCAAATGCACCGTGTCGATTTGCGTCGACCAGGCGACGCGCTTTTTTAACAACACCACTTACAAATCGTTTCTTCCATGCTTATCCCATGTCTTCCACAATTCTGTATGCCATACTTTGCTGGCCATATCTAGCGCTCCGTTAAAAAAAAGGGCTGGCGAAGCGTTTTTGATTTGGTCAGAGAGAAGACTGAGAGATCGGCCAGGACCATAAGAGAACTGTATAAGATCGCTTTTCCGTCTTGTTTGTAAGCCAGCGCAAAACTACGGGTAAGGGCTTCCGCACAAACTCTACTTCCCTAGCGCGTTAGGGTTGGTTTACAGAACAGCCGCAATTCCGCTAACTTAGGTCCGTTCCACAATGAGTTGAAAAATGTTCCGTCGCCGCAGTTGCAAATACTAGGGGAAAAGTGTACAGTGGAACACCTTTCTTAATTTTTTTTTATTTCGTGGAATTCTCTACCACGGATTACAAAACTTAGCCCTCTTGCGAAGTCTTGTGTTTAACGATTCGAGAGATCGATCGAGTTTTCGGAGAAGTTTTGGTCCTCGATTATGCGGACGATGCGATCCTGAAGAGATCCGATTGAAATAGGAGATCGATCGAACTCCGTCTCATCTTCCTCTTTTAATCACTCTTAATATCTATGAAAAAAAAAAAAAAACACGATAACAAAAATGTAAACAACAATATCCCCGATAATATAATCTCGATCTCTTCTCGGAGAAAAAAGATGCGCGACGTTGATTAATTTAATCTCAAAATTCGCAAACAATTATACTGGACACAGATACAGTATCTTCGCTCCGAGATTCGATTTGTCGGAAAGAAATAAAAGATTGATCCGACACTCGCTGCTTCCAGTGAAACAATTAATTTTGATGACAAAATGACACTTGGACGTATCTTGCTCGTCGCGTCGCTGATATTATTTTACGTGTCGGCTGAGCCGTCCTACTACGTGTTAACGAAAAAAGAAACGGACACGTTTATATCATTTTCAGAAGAAGCGCCCAAGTACATTCCGACCTGGTCCAGTCTGGACAGTCGACCGCTTCCGTCCTGGTACGATGCGGCAAAATTTGGAATTTTTATTCATTGGGGCGTATTCAGCGTGCCTAGCTTTGGCTCCGAATGGTTTTGGAACAATTGGAAAGGTTTGTTATTGTTGTTTGTTCAGGAATAATTTTTTACTTCACTAATTTTTTTGTAATTTTTATGCAGACAGAGGAAGTTACATATTGTGTTTAAAAATTTCTTGCAGAAGAAACTACAAGCACGAAATATCGTGATTTTATGAAACAAAGATACCCTCCAAACTTTACCTACCAAGAATTTGGGCGTGACTTTACCGCTGAGTTCTTCAATGCATCTCAGTGGGCTGAATTATTTCAAGCGTCAGGTGCGAAATACATTGTATTGACAAGTAAACATCATGAAGGATATACATTGTGGCCGTCAAAGTATTCATTTAGTTGGAATTCTATGGATGTCGGACCTCACAAGGATCTTGTTGGTAATACACGCAATATAACAAGAGAAAATCCGTGTTCAAGTGATAGATATTTTACAATTTGTTTTTTTTTTTTAATCAAACAGGTGAACTCGCACAAGCAATTCGAAGCAAAACAAATATAAAGTTTGGTCTGTATCATTCCATGTATGAGTGGTACAATCCTCTTTATTTAACAGACAAAAGAAACAACTTTTCGTCTAATATATTTGTTACTCAGAAAATAATACCCGAGTTACATGAACTGATAGAAACATACAAACCAGAAGTGGTCTGGTCAGATGGAGACTGGGAAGCAACAGACACTTATTGGAAATCTAAGGAGTTTTTAGCATGGCTGTATAACGAGAGTCCGGTGAAAGACACGGTGGTCGTAAATGATAGATGGGGCAGTAACATGCCATGTCATCATGGTGGTTTCTACACGTGTACCGATCGTTTTAATCCTGGTAAAGTTTTTTAAAATAACATAAATATTTATCGCACGAAAGGAAAAGAAGAAAATTACAGAATATATGCTTATTACATATAAAATTGAATAAGTTCTTTAAAATAGATCAAGTTTCGCGTTTTAGGTGTACTTTTGTCACACAAATGGGAAAATTGTATGACTATCGATGGAAAATCTTGGGGATTCCGTCGAAATGCTGTCTTATCAGAATATTTTACATTAGCGGAATTAGTCAAGGAATTGGTAACTACCGTAAGTTGCGGCGGTAACATATTGATGAATGTAGGACCGACAAAAGATGGCATTATCACACCGATATTTGAAGAAAGATTACGTGGGATGGGTAATCACATATTTGTATCTTATCATATTTTTTAATTACTGATTAATTCGATGATGATAAGTATTTATTGATTTTTTTTTTAATCTTGATGAATGATACAAATAAATCTTTAGGTGCTTGGCTGTCAGTTAATGGAGAAGCTATTTACGACAGTAAACCTTGGAAAACACAAAATGATACTTTAACGGGAACTGTCTGGTACACGCAAAGCAAAGATGAAAAACAGTTGTATGCCTCAATTCTAGAATGGCCAGATGATAACATCTTGGTACTGGGCTCGCTTAAAATTCCAACAAAATCTGAAATACACCTACTTGGCCATTCGTCATTAATTGCTGTAAGTTTTTTTTTATAGTATGCTTTTAATTTACACACAAAGATTTTGATAAAATTATATGAATTTTATATATGTATATTAATTTCAGTGGAAACAGTCCGATGATAGATTGAAAATATTTTTACCCGTCGAGGCACACAAAGGTCAGCCGGCTTGGGTGCTTAAAATTGAATAGTTATTGTATAAAATGGTATTTTTGTATATTATAAAATGCTTTTTATGCATGTACATAGATTACAAAATATATATTAATATATATGTATATCATATATTGTTTTGGAAATGTATGTAAATATTTGAAAACAATCTTAACAGCGGCAAATGCGTTTTGATATCGTCGTGATATCGATCCAACTCGGGTGATATCGAAGCATTACAATTGTCCTACTTCGTACAGATAAGCTCCGAGCAGTTTGGTCTGCAAACATTGATAGAATGAATTACATTACCGATTATTTTACACAAGAAATATACAGTTCAAATACCTGAATGTGACCAAGTGTTTTATACTTACTCCCTCGATATAGTTGTGCACGTTCAACTTTTCATTCTGAGAGTGCGCACCGTCGTCGCCCTGTCCGACCGGTAAGAGCAATACGTTTTTACCAGTAATTTCCTGGAAAGTTAGAGTAACCGGGATTGATCCGCCCTCGCGACACAGATCAGGTTCCACCTTGTAGACGTGCTGTGTGGCTTTTCGCCCAGCCATATAATGCGGATGATCGGGATTCTCGGACCACGGCTTGCCACCGTGGAACATGCTCACGTTCATAATATTCGAACTGCCTCTCTCCTGCCATTTCTTGTTCACGTACGCGATCACTTTCTCAGCCGTCTCGTCCGGAGTCATATCAGGCACTAATCTGATCGAGAACTTGCCGATGACTTTTCGCGGAATTACCGTTTTTGCTCCAGGTTCGCTGAAAGCACCCTCTATCCCGTGAAGAGACAAAACAGGATGCCTCCACCGATACATTAATAGCTGAATCTGTGAAGATCGACATAAATTAAAATATTAATGTGCGTGCTAATGTTTTGTTTTCTACAATTATTTATAACAAATAAAATAGAAAAATGAATATACCTTGTCTTCTTTATGCGCTAGCTTTTTAGTTCCGACCGTCTTCCTGAATTCATCAACGTCAAAATCTATATCTTTGTAGGTGGCCAATTCAGCCTCTGTTATTTTTGCCACGCGGTCATAGATGCCGTCTATCAAAATACGACCGTTGACATCGACCAAACTGTTCATTAAGTAAATAAGGTCCGGCATGGCTTCGTATACACAGCCACCAAAGACACCGCTATGCAAGTCCTTGGCAGCGCAAGTAACTTCTATCGTAAAGTAGCAGATTCCTCGTAAACCGTAAGTGATACACGGAGTTTTAGTACCCAACCAATAATTGTCGGATATGCAGACATAGTCCACATCCTTCAGAAAGCTGTCTTTCCTCTTCCAAAGAAGTTCATCCAAACCTTCACTACCGCTCTCTTCCATTCCTTCGAAGACAAACTGTTGTGAAACGAAGTCATAGTTAATGATAAAGTAATTATTACTAACATTAAGGTCAAGAAACATTTATTATTTTAAAAAATGGTACCTTGATGTTAACAGGAATATCAATTTCAAGTGCTTTGTAAGCCTGTAACGTGTGTAGCCAACAAAGAACTGGTCCCTTATCATCAGTACTACCTCGTCCATAGAGCTTTCCATCTTTTTCAGTAAGAATGAACGGATCGGTATCCCAGCCGTCTTCTTTTAGCGCAGGCTGCACATCCAGATGTCCGTATACAAGTACGGTTTTCTTCTTTGGATCAGATCCAAGGATCCCAAGCAACACAGGAGGAAGAGGAATTTCACTGTTGTCAGGGAGAGTCTGGCTACCTATATCAACTAGTTCTGTAGTTGCTCCAAGATTTTTCAACCTTATGTCCGCCCATTTCATCATTTTCACTATCTCTGTTCTTTGATCCGGCCATGCTGATACAGATTTAATAGCTACTGCTTCTTCCAAGGTCTTTATATATTCTTGCTTATGTTCATCTATATACCTACGAAAAACAGAATAAAAAAAATTAATCAAGACTAAAGGATTCAATTAAAAAATAAAATAAATATAGTCTCTCGCTAACGGTTTGAATTTTTCAGGTCGGGAGTCATCCTCGCCAATTCCTAAAAGTGTTTCGACGAAGCGAGCGTCCGCGTTATCTATAACTCGTAATCAGTAATGACGTAACTAAAAATGAGTTATCAAAGCAATAAAAAAATAAAATTTTTACATTTTTTAATTTATAACATTATTTCAATCGCATTGCCAAGGTTTTTCCAATAAAAATTGATACCAAACAAGACCGTATTTGAATGAGCTTGCTTACACGGAGGATAAGAATTAGAAGAGGAGTGCAAAGTGAATATATTATATGTTTATTAATATTAGTGTAAGATGAGAAATTAACAAAAGAAGAAAAAAGTTAAAAAAAAAAAAAAAAGAAATAAGAGTTAATATATGCAAAAGTTACATAACATTATTTTTTATAATAATAATCTATTAAAACTTTAATATAAAACTGAATAAATTCTGGCTGCGTTTCAGCCCACAGACTTAATTGATCAAATAAGTCTTTTAATTCATCTTCTGCTATTTCGCAATTTTGTCGTAATGTTGGTTCTTCCGTTTCTTTATCGTTTTCACGAATCAATTCAGCTTCTTCGCAATGAGAAACCCAATTGTTCACTTCGTCGAAAGAATAATTTTCAATTTGTTCTTCTTTTATTTCTGTGTTCTGCCTTTTGAGAAGTTTTCGCCACGCGTTGCAAATATTTGTCTGTGATACTGATTTCCAAGCATCGTGAATTAAATCGATACAATCTTTAATGTCGTAGTTAAAATAAAACTGTCGAATTCCCCTCGGACATTCAACTACCTGTGAAATTAAAGCAATAGATTAATAAAACAATAGAAAGAATTGCAATAAGCTCATGTGAGAAGATGTGAACATGTAAAAGAAAATGTTAGATGTGAGAGTAAATATTCATTACTTGCCTTTTGAAGTAAGTTGTATCGGAAAGATGTTTTGCATTTCGTAATTAATCCCTGATTCATTGGTTGCAGAATGGAAGTCTTATTAGGGGGCAAAAACATTAATTCAAAGTGGTCGTTTTCTCCGTCACGAACATTGTGGCCTTTAAAATTGTCAACTAAGAGGAGAACTTTGCCCATACTATTATCTTGTAATTGTCGCTGCCTGACAGTCGGTTGGAAGTGATTTATATACCAATTATTAAAAATTTCTTCATCTATCCACGCATTCTTTTGATTTTTGTACACAACAGGTAAATTATTCTTAACATGTTTTAACGCTCGTGGACAAGCATATTTATGTACAAATAGTAAGGGCAATTTATGGGTGCCCGTGGAATTTGCACAAAATCCTATACTCACACGATCTTTTTTCACTCTGTTTCCATCCACTCGTTCTTCAGATGTGCGAGTTAATGTTTTCTGTGGTAGGTTTTTCCATAACAAACCCGATTCGTCCATGTTATATATATTATTTTCGTCTATATTTTCTTGTTCTATTTTTCTCGCCAGTTCTTCAATGAACTGTTCTGTAACGGTTTTGTTGGCATCAGCTTGCTCACCATGAATATGAATCAAACCGCTGTTGTGTCTTTTCTTAAATCGCCATAACCAACCGCGGCTTGCAGTAAATTTTGCTGGAACTCCAAATTTTTGATGCAACTCTAACGCTTTTTGCTGTATGAGATTGTCCGTTAGGATGTCTCCTAACATACGTTTTTCCAAGATCCATGTACTTAAACGAGTGTTAATTTCTTCAACATTAGACGTACGGATTCTTTTTCTTTTTTTTAATGTTTCATTCTTCGCAAGTTGTTGAATGCGTACTGCATTTTTCCGATAATTCCGAATGCTTCTTTTGCTCAAGCCATAGTTGTTAGCTAAAGTATTTACACTAGCACCATCTTGTAATTTTTTAACAATTTCTGATCGCTCTTTCACTGTGGGATCTTTTCCTGAATTAGGCATTTCGCATATGTACACACGTATACGTACACGTAAACGGATACTCGCACGAATATTTAGGTATACGATACAACCGGTTAGGCAGATCAGACTCAGCTGACCGCGAAGTTAAATTTTCGTTCTCGAGGGAAAGGGAAAAAACACAAAAGAAAGAGCGGAAAACAGTATAACAAAACGGTAAAAGCGAAAAAGTCACGAGATCCTGATTCGGAGAATCAGAGATAACACAGCCGACAATTCTCGAAACAATATCTCCTTCGACATCGGTCTGCTCGCGAAACCGAGAAGGGGATCGTTAGCGAGAAACTGCTGTATATATTTGTACATATAAATATTACATATTTCCAAAAAGATCTTACTTAAATAACGTTTCCAATGCCGGTGGCAATGCCATTGTTGAACAACAAAAAGTTTTAGAAAGTAAAACTGCAGTTGAATTGGACTAAGATAAGATAATACCGGAACTAACGTTCACAGTTTTGCCTTTCTTACAGCAATGCCACAGTATATACAGTAGCGCAACTCCCTGTCGGCACCTTTGATGTCAGTGAAGCCCAGCGTTGCCGTGGAACTTGCCACACGTGACGTCACGCAGTAGAGAGATAGAGAGGTACGACTCGTACCTCTCTATCTCTCTACTGCGTGACGTCACGTGTGGCAAGTTCCACGGCAACGCTGGTGAAGCCAGCAATAACGCGCATGCGCGAAGTTGGCTAGTTTAAGGCTTACCTACAGTTAGATGCAGACGTGGATCGCGACAGTGTTCCGATATTGGAGAGGCTGTACGCGCATGCGCGACGAATTCCGAGAGAATCCAGTAACGTATCTATGAAGATGCGCGGTAGTTTTAGCGGGAGGCTAGCTAAAGGGAGATAACTTAAATATAACTTTTTTATTTGTTATAACATAT